CTTCTCCTTTTTCGCTAGGCTCCGCCTCTGAGCGTCTTTGCGCATGCGCCGGGCTGATGAGCGGTCAGCCTTTGGAATGTTCTCGGTGAGTATCATAGAGAGGGCGTTCCTCCCGCCTGCCTAGAAAGGCAAGCAACGGCGGCCATTTTTACATGACGATAAGTGCTGTGGTGGAGCTGAAGAAGGGGTGCATTGCCTGATGTGGGCACTGTTGGGGAGGTTCCTTGTGGCGCAAGCGCCGGCTCGGCGGATAGTTCTTCACACCGAGTCCGCGGGTGTGGCCTGCTGAAGGGTTTCTTGGAGGTGCAGGGGTGACTTGGAGGAGGCTGGAAGGCCTGTGGGTGCTAGTTGGGTGATGACTGGGGCCTCCTTGCACCTTATGGTCTGGGCCTGTGGGGCTGCAGCAGGCAGGCTTGTGCCATGCTATTTAGAGGTCCTAGCTACCTCCTTTTCTATTTTCAGTGGGTGTCTTGATTGTCCCAGCTGTCTTATAGATAAAGTAGGCTCAGCCTTGCACCTGCTGGCACACCAGTTTATGGCCTAGCTTGGGGTTCCTAATAACTCTGTTTTTCTCTCTATCATCTTTCCAGCTGCAGGTGTCTTCACCATAGCTCACGTTACCATGGCCACCCACTTCTCCAAGGATCAGGAGGAGAGAGTGCGTAGAAAATGGCTTATGCAGGCCCACTGCTGTGATGCGTGTCTCTGTAAAGAGACCTTCCTGTTCCTCTAATAACGTGGCAGATTGCTGTACTGTGTAGCTTTTTGCAGGAAAGTGGCTGATACTGCTAAATTCCTTGTGCTTTTCTGCTTATGTAGTGATGGAGATATTGTATGACAGCACAGAGCTTAACTGCTTAACTAAATGTCTGGGAATATCTAGTGCTGACATACTGATAGTATGTTGAAGATGTGCACTAATCCAGTTGTACTCTCTGTTACGTAATTTTCCTTTTTAAGCATTGATTTTGTAAAATTAACTGCTTAGTTGGCACATGGTATTCATAGCAGATCTTGTAGTTTGGGTATATTGGGTTTGTAATTCATGCCAACTCATTTACCTGTGAGCTGCATCTTAAATTCGATGTCTTACACTCTCTACTGTACAGGCTTGCCAGATTCCCTGTTAACTGAGTATTCTGTTATCTGAATCTGCACTCTTAGCTTATATTTGTTTACTCCTCTGTTTGTGGTGTTTTCCAGATCAAGTGTGTTAAGGGGGACCTTTTCTCATGCCCCCAGACGGACTCACTGGCTCATTGCATCAGCGAGGACTGTCGCATGGGTGCAGGCATAGCTGTTCTTTTTAAGAAAAAGTTTGGAGGCGTACAAGAGCTGTTAGACCAACGTGAGTGATACACGTGGGGTGGACATGCAGGAGCTGAAGGGAAAAACCTTGATTTCCAGCAGTAAGGGTATTCCAAGCTACTTAGGGTGCAGGGGGGATTATGTAGCAGAGTGTGACTGTTCTAAAAATACCATCTTTGTTTCTTCACTTTAGAGAAGAAGACTGGGGAGGTGGCAGTTCTCCAAAGAGAGGACCGATATATTTACTACCTGGTAAGAGTGGGACATTACTCTTATGCTTCCCTCTAACTAAACTTTATTCGATACGATGACGAAGGCTTTAAAATAGTTGTGGGGTTTTTGAGTTTCTTCTAAATAAGAAGTGTGAGATGTATTACTCAAATCTTGCTCGTCAAGGAGAAGTCAGGCTCTCTTATGTATGTGTATTTAAACTTTAAATTGACAGAACTAGCTGCTAAATGATACAATTTTAAGCTGTGAAACATAGTTCTTTTTCCCTTCACAGTAGCAAGTCTGGGTATGAAGTTTCAGAGTGTAGTTGAATGTGTTTTTTAGAAAAAAAAAAAAATAGTTTGCAGTGACCATGCCAAAGGCACAACTGATCCTTTACTTTTATACTCAGATTACAAAGAAGAAGGTTTCTCACAAACCGACATACGAGAACATGCGGAAGAGTTTAGAAGCCATGAAAGCTCACTGTCTAAACAATGGAGTTACTGACATTTCCATGCCTAAGTAAGAAAATTAGTTGCTACAGTGTAAATACTTAAATGTTTCTTGTATAGAAAGATGTTTGAAAGATGATCCCCTGCTGTGAAATAAGAGTTCAAGTATCCACTTCTAGTCAACTCTTCTGCTCAATTATGCAAATGAAACTTGCATTTCTCAGTGCGTTTAAATGATAGCAAAACATGCAGGCTTGGTTGTTTCTTTATTTTAACTACATTATGTTGATTTATGGTGAACTGAGTTAGTGCCACATAAAATTGTAGCTGCTTGAAGGGCTGGTTGTTCATAGCATGCTCCAAAAGAAGCCATTACAGCTGTTTTTGGTGTCTTATTTTCCAGGATTGGATGTGGACTTGACCGCTTGGATTGGAGTAAAGTTTCGGCAATACTTGGAGAAGTGTTTGAAGACACAGATATAAAGATCACAGTTTACTCTCTGTGAGCAGAAGAGTTTAGAGAGAGACCCATTTCCCTTGCTTTCACGAGTGGAAATCTGTTAACTGATGAGGGGGGGAAACTGCATGCTGAGCACATTCTTCTCCTGAGCGTAGCTCACTCTTGTGTTGGCAGTGGCTTTTAACAACACCACACAAAGGAAAAAAGCTCCAGAGCAGCTAATTGGGGATGTAGTGTTCAGGGAGCCTGTGAAGAAGGCGGGGTGGGTGTTGTGGTAACCCCCTAGGAGTTCCTGGTCTGTCCCAGCAAGCCACCAGATGTCACTGGTTCTCCACGGAGCACCTGCCTGCACTAGAGCTTCTGCTTAAAGCTGACAGTTCCTGCGCAGAGTGAATTGGAGCTGTCTGTTGATTAGGTATTTGTTGTTTCGTAGTTACGGTTGATAATGATGAGCTGTGGAGTCCTGTCAATTTTTTAAGTTTTGCGATGTTAGTATCTGGCATACAGTTTACTTAAGTAATCTGTTCATTACAGGATTAAAAATTTTAATTTCTATCTTCTGGCCACAAATAAAGATTTTTTTATTATGAGATTGTACACCCTAAGGATCATGCTGTCAACATTAAATAAATAGCTCCTCAGTACTCTACCGTCAGATTGGATCATGGGCCTTTTGAAAAACACTATATGTGTTGTGGCTGTGTTCTAGAGGAAAGCTGAGTTTTGAAGGGGAATGCTGGAGATGTGTAAAGACACATTGTGGGTGTGTTTTATGCTGTATAATTGGTATAGTCTGCAGAACTCACTTTTCTGAGAATCCACACGTGAATGACTGATGTGCTGTAAAAAGCTGTAGCATGGAGTTTAAGGTTTGTTTTTCGTATTTCTTTTTTTAGTGCATTTGTAGTTTAGCTGTTGTATGTAGGTTGGTGTTTGATGTCTGTCATCGATAGCAAAAGCAAATCAGTAGCACAGTTCATCAGATCATTGGTAAACACTTGATTTTTGAAAGTTTGGTTCCAGTACTGAAGAACTATCATATACTCCGCATTTTCTTTATGTTTGTTGTTTCCCACCCTCCCGTAAGTCTTTTTTACTTGTGTCATGCTGAATGCCCATAAAAATGCCAGATACATTGAGTAAACCTTAAAAATGGGACATAATGGCTGAGAAGTTTGTAGCATAAGATAGGGTTCCTAATTAGTTTTCACTATGAATTGAATAGGTGGAGCGTTTTCTGTTCTTAGTATTGTGGATTAATCTGTATTGTATGGTTTCTTTGCTGATGCAGATCTACAAATCCTGTTTGTGTCTTTAAGAGCTTCATATTGTTACTTTCCTTGTTTGTTGACCATTATTTGTGAACTTGTTTTTGGTGGATAATTGCTGTAGCTAAATACACAACTGGAAAAAAAAAATAAACTCAAGACAAATAGGAACTTGGAGTATTGAGCTGATCAAGAGCAGACATGAAGACTGCTCATTGATTTAGTCCTTGCGTTCGTTTTGTGTTAGCTTTTTAAATCTAGTGGCAAAGAGATGAAATCCACAGCGGCTGCACAGAAGTGTTCTCATTGCCGCTTGGTTTTTCTGCCTTCAAAATTTATGCCAGAATTTAAGTGCAGGTGACTGAGTAAGAGGTGGGTGTGGTCAGCAGTTTTATGTGTGTGTGTCTAGCACCATTCCAACTTGTGACAGTGCAGGAGAGACCAACAGGAAGAACTGGTGGGACGAATTAGCATTATCTGACTCCATTTCTTAGCTGATGAGTGACCCTGTGACCCTTGTTCGGTCTGTGCCTTGTTTTAAATGGGAAGTGATATGTCCATATTGTCTCTGTCTCCCACTCTTGAAATTTTTTTGGCATATAGTAATTCTCCCTTCTCATGCTGCACTTCAGCTATGAAATATTTCATACGTGGCTGTCCCAGGATGTCTCACTTGTCAGATAAAATTTAGGACCTCTGGCAAATAGAGAAGAAGGAATAAACAGTGCTATAGGTTTTTGCAGTGACTTCCAATTTTATTTCACTTTGCTTTTCCCAGTTTTATATCATAAACAACATTGAACAAGGGGAGAAGGTATTTGAAATCAAGTACTTTGGGCTAACTGATCTATTCTAACTTATGGTGGAACCCTAATTTAAATCACAGCTCTGGTTATTGAGGAGAACAGAGGAAGAAAACCTGTTTTTCATCTTAAGTCCCTTTCTTTTTAATATTTATGAAGTATGTACTTTCTAAATGCATTTATCTAATTGGCAGCTTTGTTCTAAGATCTTTTCTCATAAAGTAGTCCCAGTATGTGAGGCCTGCAGTCTTCCGTGTAGGTCCACTGCAATCCATTTCATTCAGGGCTTTAACCACGCAGTATGTTGCCTTCTCTTTTCCTATTGGCAGAGGCAGCATAGGGTTGTTTGGGGCAGGGAGGAGGAACAAAATAAACCAAAAAAATCCCAAACACCAAAGATCTGTGTTGTGTTTGTAGTCTGTCAGGGCCTAGTCTTCCGGAAGCTGGTACTTCATCGTGCTGGAATCAAAGCTTTGGAAAGCGGGAGTGTCCCAGATGTCCAAGACTGTCTCATCTGTCTTCATAGATCTCTTCTGAATTGGTCCTGGGGAAGGAACAAGAGAGACTTATTAGGAGCTTCAAATGTTTTCATGGTTTATGGCTTAAACAGGTGACTCTTCAGTATCCCTTAAAACAAGGCATTCTGCAATGATGACTGATTTCCTTTAGTTGCTGGTTTGTGGTTTTTTTTTTTCTAGAGGGCTAGACTTCAGGGGTAGGGGAAATCCCCATTTTTCCTACATTCCTCTCACTGTTTCCATGTTTCCTGAATATCAAGCATGTGGGAAACAATGAGGTATTCTTGTTGCACCTAGTGACCCTAGTATGTTTTTATTCTTTATGGCTGGAGGTGTTTGAGAAGAAAAGAAACCCAGCTCTAAGTCCTTTACGTGTCTGCTGTGGAGGAGCCCACTGCAGTGTTAACTACCCTTCAAGGGCTAAGGTACTGCCTAGGATTATTTTCAGTACTCGGGTACAGGCAAACCCAGCCAGGTGCGTATGAGAGTAACAGTAACTGAAGTTGGCTTTGGGTTACACCTTTAACAACCTGAAGAAAAAGAGGAGTCTGTAATACTAATACAAGGAGATAGGTGACCAAGCAGAAATCCTCACTCACGTGAGCTTCAGTGCAAAATCTCAGCCAGCTTTTCCTCATAATACTGGAAGTTCTCTTGAATGTCCTCCCATGGCACGAAAGCCTTTGCTTCATCTCCTTCCTCCTGTTCCACAAAGTTCTGCCAGACATACTCAAAGTCTTGAGGCTTCATAATCCTCAGCTTGCAGCCAGCTGCCTTCATTTTTTTCAGGGCAGCCTGCATTTCTGGCTCTTCCCACATGAAGAGGCGCCCTACCATGATTGTCAGACGCAGGTTCTTGTTCTTCTTTAGAGTCTCGATTATCCGATCAGCACAGGTCACACAGGGACTGGAGGAGACATACCAGGTGATGTTGTAGCGGAGGCTTGATTCACACTTCGGTAAAATTGTGTTGAAGAAAGCCATTTCTGCATGGGCGGCTGCATGCTCGTCTTCCAGGTAACCCCGAGAAGTCACTGACTCTTTGCCTTGGGTCTCAATAACATAACACAGGAAGGTTTTGTTCCTGCCTGAGCTGTATTCCACGTTCCTGAACTGGAATTTGAAAAATATGGCTGGGAGGCGTTCCCTATAGAAAGTTGAGAGGAGAGAAGCATCTCAGTGGCAGAAAGAAAGGGTTACAGCATTGGTTCAGTTCCTGTACGTGATCTTGGACAAGTTGCTGCATCTATGATGGCTGTATTTTTCCATGTATTAAAAGGAGACGCCTTTCAATAGGAGGGTAGCAATACATTAAAAATTACAAGATACTCAGCTAGCTTTGCTGTATGGTGAGGCATCCAGGCCCATTCTCAATGCCTAGTCTTTCTCACTTAATTTTAACAAACTTATACTGGGAATTTCTGGTATCTGCATTGAGTTATTTTAAGAGGAACTTGTTTCTGAAATTTATTTCTTGTGACTATGGTATTTACTGTTGGTAAGGAGGGGCAGCAATTGTCGTTTTCCTAGTCTTAATGTACCTGTACACTGAACTGTTCTATTGTTTTCTAAACCATTAATACAGTTCTTTCAGTGTGGTGTTGCAATGTTAATCTGCATGATCTGTCGTCCTGAATTGCTAGGATGATAACTCTGGCCTTGCTAATTAATCTTTTACCCCCAGTGCTTTTGCAGTCTGGATTTCCTCTGACTAGAGAAAATTGTGACTGACTAGTTGCAGTTTTTACATGTTCTAGTTTTATTCTTCCAGTATCAGTTGAATATTAATATTCAGTAGGATTATGTTGTGACTTTGGCTTAATAAGATATCTGAGATCAAATCTAACTTCACTATGAAAAAGTGTATCTCCCACTGAAGTTTGATAGCTGTCTCATGGATACTACTGATAAGCTTCGGATACTTTTTTTTAATGTTGTGCACCTCTTCCATTCTGGGTTTCTAAATTAGCATAATCCAAAGTGAATCATCACAGTGAATAATGTGTTTGCAGTCATCTTTCAGCCAAACAAGGTAGTCTGCTGTTATTTAGGGAGGTTAAAATTAGTCCCTTAAAATACTGTATAAAGCTTTTACGCATTGCTGACTGAAGAGGTGAAAAAGGAAAGCTGCATCGGCTCATGGTACCTGTTCCATCCTAATGGAGTACCAGGCTTTCCTGATTGCCCCCTGTATCATCTAGCTGTGGAGTACATCAGTACAAGGACTAGTACTTCAAGGATGTTAGGTGAAAAAAAGATTGCTGGCAACATGGCTTGTGACCTGCTAAATGCTACAAACGACGGGAGTGAAAACTGCACAGAGTAGCCAAAGTGAAATAATGAAAAGTAATAACACAATATTTCAGTTATTACACACTAGTAATCTTCTGGCATGTTGTACTCCTCTCATCTGAGCTTTAGGTGGACCTATAACCTTGATACTCCCACTGAGGCAGT